TGAAAATTAATTAATGTCATGTACAGTACATATTACATGGTGACGAGGAGACCATTAAGAAGAAAGAATGATGAATTCACACCTATAACGATAATTGCTATACTCAAATGCTATAGAACAGAAATTACTGTAAATTAACAGGAATGTCAGAGAAGAGGAAAAAACACAAAATGTCTTGTGAGTACCTGATTGTATAGAAAGCCTTTAAGAAAAATATTAACAAGCAAGATCTGTTACAACCTGAATAAGTGGAAGGTGTTAAAAAAAAAGGAAGGTGGAGAAAGGGGGCAGATCATTTCCATGCTGACCTTTAGAGCAAATCGCTTAAAGCCAATCTCTCTTTCTATCCATCTCTTTCCAAAGCTCAAAGGCAGCCTTTACTTTCCCACTTGCTCTTTTTTGCAATACCTAAAAGTAGGAGACACCAGGCCCTCATTCACTTTAGCACTTCAGCATGTGTAGGGTAGTGGAAGGGAGCAATCAAACAGAAGATGAAACTGTTATTATAATATAATAATATTGTATTATACTGTAATTTTGAAAAACACTGGAATGATAATAAATTTTATCAACCCTATGGGAACTCCTGTTCCTGAATAAATATCACCTTTAAAAACAGTTACTTTGGAAGATCAGGTGTTTATTCTAGTACCACTGTCCAAGCTTGGTTGGTTTGAACTCCTATGAGCAATGGAGACAGTATTAAAAAAAGGGTGAGAACGTGTGGAGCCAGCATACTTTCTGGAGTACCAATTTCACACAAAGATGGGACAACATTAATATTTTAAAATNACCCCTTCTGAGATCCTTTTAGGTGAGAATAGTACCTAGACTTAAATACAAGTATAAATACCCTGTATTCCATGTTAATTTTCTTAGAGATTTCTAATATTATTATTTTGTTTCTGTTCAAAATATTGAAAAGGGCACATGAATGCCATGCATGTTTGAAAAGAATGGCTATGTATACAGGTGGGAAGAATTCTATGGCAGTGAGTGACATGTCTAATAGTGCAATTGGCAATTAAGTCTTAAGATTTAGAACTTTCAGATTTAATAAACATACATACATGATATCTTTGAATATCAAAGATAACACTAAAGAAGATGGTAACTATCATCAGCA